GCTAGCAGCAAAAGGGGTGATGCAGTTTAATGACTTGCTCAGGTAAATGGTGCACTTGTGTGGCTAACAGTTCTTGGTCCTAGATGTCTGACATCGCAGACAGCGCTATTGGCTTCTGTTGCTCAAAATGATGTGCAAAAGGGGTTGCAGTTTAAAGACATGTGCTTGGTCATTCATGGCGCTCAAAGCTGCCAAAAATTGAACAGTTTAACGACGTGCTAAGGTCATTGGTGGTGACACATTGACTTGATCATTGCATTTAAAAGGTAAGGGTTATAGACGCAAAAACATAGTTTTTGATTGCGGATGCAATCTCCTTATCCTCGGTCTTCGGTCATGATCTCGTGCTTCTGTGTTACGGCTGTCGAGTCAGAAATTATGTCATGATATTGTTTGCCTCCACTGAGATTCGACCCTGTGCTCGTTGGGGGTCGAGCGGGACCTGAGGATGTGTCAGGTGATCTCTGGGAGACTTAAACATCATGGCTTAACCCCTAAGCCACTTGAACGGTGAAGTACTAAGTTCGAATCTCGACCAGTATATGTTTTTTTTGACATCGATAAGATAAGATTCTATGGGCGCCTAGTCACGTGTTTGAAGGTATGACATATTTTGATCGATTGTGATCATGTTTGATCCGTCAATCGAGTCATGATAGACTTTCTGATCGATCGTGATCTTGGTTGATCCGTGATCTGTGATGATGTCATACATTTGGTGGCGCTCAAAGCTGCCATAGTGGTGTAGTTTTAATGACTTGCCCAGGTCCATGATGGCGCTCAAAGCTGCTAAATGATAGGATGCCCTTGGTCAGAGGGCTGTTCCAAAGATTGTGTCTTGTACCCAAAAGGTTGCCTATGTCTTTTTAGGATTTTATATAGAATAGCTGCCATGTTTGCATTGTTGTATGCAAGTAGATGCGTTCCCCAATGCTGTTCATACTTGTTGGCAATGGTTTCTCGATTGCCCTTTAGGTTGGCATGCTATGTAGGCAAAAGTTAAAAAATGGAAGGTTTTGAAAATGTGATCCTTTGGCGCTGCTTGGATCATCCTTGACTTGCTCACGCTCATCTTCGGACATGTGATCCTAATTGCTTCACGGATCCTTCTCGACTCTTCGAATAGGACATGCGCTCGGTACTTGCTATATATCTTTGAGTGCTGCACTTCTTATGCGCATGTCTTCAGATAAGCTCGTACATACTTGCTGTATCCTACATTACCTCCCCCTTGCCAGGTTCCTCCCGGAACTGACGCGGCATGAGCGAGTTAAAACAAGACTGAGGGGCACAAAAGTAAGGGAGGGTGGGTGGGAGAAAAAGCCTTATAACTTTTGGGAAAAAGGTGGTTTAGGCATCCCATAGCAAATAAATTACTAATTGTTGCACAATATGTAGTAATTCTGAGACCACTTCTGGGTAAAAGGGTTCCCAATATCCCATTGTGTGTGCCAAAATAACTCCCTAAAAATTGGATTATCTATTGTGGACTGCTAAGTAAAGATCTGTTTCTGCCAGCAGTTTACAGTCAAAGACTGCCGTGCTCTTGGAGATCTTATATGTGGATAATCACTGTGTCAATTCAGAGTAGCATGTCTTTAGATATCTAGAATATTTTATTTATATATTTATAGGTGACCAATCCTATACAAATGATATATAAATGATAGGTAATAGTTTAATGTCATTGCAGACGCTGTGTGTCTTATATAAGCAATAACTCATAGTATTTTCGCACATAAGGGGCGATAACTCGTGGTATTTTTGCAAATATTGCCCTTATTGAAATGAATATGGGTGGGGGGACAAAGGTTTCAACATCAAATGTTGCTGCAGCACTGTCCTGGTGAGGGAGTGGCTTACGCGAAGGTGTCTGCTACCAAGTCTTGAGGTAGGCTGACAGCAGTAGAGGTGATGATGGATGTGTCAAAAAAGGTGCACCCCACACCTGGATTTTCTTGGGCTGAAAAAGCACAAGCGAATAACTCTAGGTCTTCTTCGCTTGGCTCAAAAATTAAACAGTTTTATTTAAGGTGGTCATGTTTAGGACCAAAAAATCACACCAGCAGCAGGAAGCTGGGGGCGTGCATGGAGATTCATTATAATGTCACAAAGCACCAAAGCACTTAACCCAATTAAGGGCAAGTCTGCTTTTGTGACCTGCACAAATGATCCCACATAAAAAGCCTGCCACAAGGGC